CTAATAGCCCCAAATAACCCCAACTAGCGCCCCTAAACCCTAAACCCTAAACCCTCAACCCTAAACCCTAGACCACCAAATCCCCGCAAAGCCCTTCGGGGCTGGCGCCTCAGTGAGGCAGCTCCGATCTGCTCCCGCGATTACGGTGCGACCTTGGCCATGGATGGCTTGAAGGGGGTTTAGGGTTCAGGGTTCAGGGTTTAGGGTTCAGGGTTTAGGGTGTAGGGTGTAGGGTTTAGGGTTTCGGGAGGGGGGGGGGGTCTGGAGTTTAGGGTTTGAGGGTTTGGGCTTCTGGAGCTTCAGAGGTTCAGGGTTCTCGGAGTGTGGGGCTTAGGGGGTGCGAGAGGTTTCGTTTAGGAGTTAAGGGCTTCTGGGGGCTTGATGTTCAGGGTGTTGAAGGGCTTAGGCGGCTTAGGGGTTAACAGGTTTCGGGTTTTGAGGTTTGGGGGTTTGAGTGCCCTGCGACACTAGTGGGCCGGGGGGTGCTGGGGGTTTCCAGGGGTTCAGGTGATTCAACAAACCCAGGCCCTAGGGACCATGAAAACCCCTTAGAAAAACCCTATGAGTCCCTACCAAGTCCTGAAAAAATGCCTCCTATAAGCCCTGAAGCCTGTCAGCCCTGTCAACCCTGCCAAGTCTATCAACCCTATCAACCCCATCTACCCTATCAACCCCATCCTAAACCCTAAACCCTAAACCCCAAGCATCTGGGGCCCCGCGCTCAGGTGCGGATCCACAGGGAAGTCGGCCATCTTTCCCCCTGTCGCCGGGCGAAGGGAGATGGAGCTCAGAAATCAGAGTCGAGACCCAAAGAGTACAGTAGGTGTAGGGTTTAGGGTTTAGGGTTTAGGGTTTAGGGTTTAGGGTTTAGGGTTTAGGGTTTAGGGTTTAGGGTTTAGGGTTTAGACGGGTACCCTTTTTGCTTTAAAGGGGCTGAGAATGGAACCTAAACCCCAACAACAGGGAAATAAGCGCCCACTCTGCGTCCTAGGAGTTCATAGTTCATGAACCCCTACACCCCCAAACTCCTAAAGGCTACACCCCTGAACCCGAAAGCCCTGTGCCCGATGTAGCGCGCCTACAGATTCCCTAGCTTAAGGGAGGACTGTGTGGAGCCAGCCGCAAACTTAAACCTTGCGCAGAGCTAGGTCTAGCTGGTCTTTCGCATGTCCGACTCCCTAAACCCTAAACCCTGATCCCTACACGCACCGAAACCCTACATTGCAAAGGGCCCTCAGACCCTAAACCCTAAACCCCAAAACCCTGAACCCTAATTACCTGAGCCCCGGGCGGAAGAGCAAAGAGTCAAGGGGGGGGAAGGGGGTGGAAGGATCTAAGGGTAGCTGTAGGGGCCCTTCCTTAGTATGCGTCTAGGGTGTAGAGTTTAGGGTTGAGGGTTTCGGGGTCCGTTCATATGGTCCCTTGCCTTCTTTCAAGGGTTCTGAGTTCTGAAGTATGGGCCCTTGATTTCTTCTTTTTGACCCCTCATACTCATTTCCCACGATAGGGGTGCCCCTTTTACACCTCCAAATAGAATAGAATCCCCTTAAACATACCCACAAAAAAGGGTACAGTATTTTTCGGAAACCCCCATGTAACGACCCTGAGAAAGGGGATCGGGGGGGGGGGGGGGGGGGGGGAGGGGGGCACCGATGTCTGTGAGGTCGCCCTCGTCGTCGATGGCGCCCAAGAAATGGAGCCTTAGAGCTCGCGAGTTGTACTTCTTTCAGCTGTTCTGGTTTAGGGTTTGGGGTTTGGGGTTTGGGGTTTGGGGTTTGGGGTTTGGGGTTTAGGGTTTAGGGTTTGGGGTTTGGGGTTTGGGGTTTGGGGTTTGGGGTTTGGGGTTTGGGGTTTGGGGTTTGGGGTTTGGGGACTCTTGAAACATCCTAAGCCCTGCAGAATTCGAACAAAAAGCCCTAAGTTGCTTCCGGCCATTCAGGCCATCAACAGCCTTACAAACCCAAACGAACTCAAGGATGATTAGGGTTTAGGGTTTAGGGTTGAGGGTTTAGGGTTTAGGGTTTAGGGTTTAGGGTTTAGGGTTTAGGGTTTAGGGTTAGGGTTTAGGGTTTAGGGCTCAGGGCTTAGGGTTTAGGGTTTCGGGATACCCAATTTCCTGCCACTCAAGGGCACCAAAGGTTCTCCAAAAATGAAGGTCTAGCAGATTTGGGTCTTGACGTTTCGTAGCTTGAGTGTTTGGGGCGTAGGATTTTCGGGATGAGGGTGTGTGGGGTGTAGGGTTGGGGGTTTAACCCTGCAGACCCCTAGAAACCCTGAACACGAAGTCAATATGCCAGAAGGCCAAAAACGCCAAACCACAAACAATGCAAGCCCCCAAAGGCCCCGAAACCTAAACACTACCTGACTAAACCCGAGACCCTAAACCCTAAACCCTAAACCCTGCACCCTAAATCCTACACCCCCCAAACAGGCGCAAACCCTAAAGGAAGCAATGTCAGGTCCGATCAGGCCTTGAGAAGGTCATGTTCCTATATTATAGGACCCTGCACCCAAAGCACTATTAGGGTTTAAGGTTTAGGATTTAGGGTGTAGGGTTTAGGACGAAAATATAACTTCCACCCGCAACCCTAAAAACAGACTAAACCCGACCCCCTAAAATGCGAAAGACCTCAGGCCCCCGAACCCGAAACACTCTGTCTCCAAACCCTAAACCCTAAACACTGTACATCCGGCTAAAAAGCCTATAAACCCCAAACGTGCAAAACCTAAAACCTCCAAACCCATATCCCCCTCCCCCCCTAAACCCTAAACCCTAAACCCTAAACCCTAAACCCTAAACCCTAAACCCTAAACCCTAAACCCTAAACCCTAAACCCTAAAAAAACCACATCCCCCGAAACCCTGCAAGTCCTGGGATCTGCGCATTTCCAGAGCTCGCATCATCGACTCGGGCGAGGGCCTCGGCGAAAAGGGGTTTAGGGTTTAGGGTTTAGGGTTTAGGGTTTAGGGTTTAGGGTTTAGGGTTTAGGGTTTGGGGTTTAGGGTTTAAGGTTTAGGGCTTGGGATTTAGGATTTGAGGGTCTTGTAGGATTTAAAGTTTAGGGCTCAGGGTTCAAGGGGATAGGGGGAGGCAAGGGGCCTTAAGGTTCCAGGGCTTACAGGGTTTATGGGAGGGGTTTAGGGTTATGAGGGCCATTTGAAGGGCTTGGAGGGGCTCTTGGGCTCAAGATTGCAGGGTGTAGGCTTTAGGGTTGGCTATGGGAACCCCCCAATACCGCAAAAACAGAGTTACACTTCTGAGTGAACTCCAAACTTCAGCTTCGTAAATCCTTTTCTGCACACGGCAGGCACTGACTTGTTCATTGCTCTCAACCAGCTGAAATCTCGCCATCGGATCTCGCCGTTGACGCTCATGAGCGCCATGTCCTGAACGAGGCGAATCCAGGGCTCCATTCAACTGAGGGGATATATATATATATATGTATATATATATATATATATTGCTAACCCCTGGGAATGCTTAAGACACAAGCTTAACTCGGGAATTTTCGGTTTGCGTGTTCTGATTTTTTAGGGGGCTTGGCGCGAACATGAACTGCGCAGTTTGCGGTTGTCAGTCACCTCCGGCTGACTCACGACATGGTTTTTCTTGCTTTCATCCGTCATCATCATCGCTCCCAGCTGACGATGTCCCAGCGATTCCGGGCGTTTCCGGATCACCCGGAACCGCCCGGAACCGCCCAGAACCGCCCGGAACTGTCCGGAAGCGCCCGGAAGCGCCCGGAAGCACCCGGAAGAGCCCGCAGTGTATTTTGAAGAGATGCCGGTCTGGACGGTTTGGATGCCAAGGGTCAGGAATGCTGAAGACATAAGTCCCGGGCTCTTCCGCGTACTTCCGGGCAAACCAGAACCGCCGGAACCGCCCGGAACCGCCCGGAAGCCGCCCCGAACCGCGCGGAACGGTGCCGGGAGCTTGGGGGGCGGGGGTGGGGGGAGGGATGGGAAGGGATGGGTGCGGGAGGGTAGGGGTGCTGGAAGAAGTGTGAGAGGGGGCGGGGGTGGGGGGTGCAGAGTTGGTGGAAAAGATGGGCCTGGTTTGTGAAAGCGTATAGGAGTAAATCTATTGATGACCATGACCCTTCACAAGAATGATCGGATGATGTTACTATGTTCTCCAAATCCCCACCGAACCTAAACTCGGCAATGGCTAGAGCTTTAAGGAACCTTTCAAAGGCCCGAGGCTTAATATGTGCAACTCTGACATGAACCCTTCCCGACCCTTAAGCCCTTGGAATGCTTAACATATAAGATGCCTTACGAAAATCGTAAGCAGGCCCATTGCAGTATGTATCTTCTCGGTTTTATGGCCCTATGCCTCAAAACTTATGTTAAGCATTCCCAAGGCTGGGCAATATATATATACATATAATATTTCTATGTATTTTCTTTTTTTAGGAACGTGAATACTTGAAATGTAAATATAGGGGATACTGCTACACTAGCCACACCTTTACTGTTACGCCACTTTCTAGACCCAGATGCCATCCGTCCTTCGCGTTGTGGTAAACAGAAAAGCCCTGCAAATCTTTATCCCAAACCCTAAATCCTGAACCCACAACCCTAAACCCCAAACACCGTAAACCCAAAACCCCTGAACCCTGAACCCTAAACTCTAAACACTCACCCCCCTGAAAGCTTGAACAACGCCTCTGGAATGGGCCTGGCCAGCACCACATACCCTGGGTGTTCTTGCTAACAGAGTGAGACTGCGGCTCTCGGGGAACCCCGTCACCAGGCTTAGGGTTTAGGGTTTAAGTTTTTATAGGGTATAGGGTCATAGCGCTGGGTGTCCCAAAATCAGAGGGCCCTTATGGTGTGTAACCCAAGGTTCCCTAGTATTCCCCACTACTCCATAAGGCTCCCTCAGCTTCCGTAAGGCTCCCATGCACCAGAAGGAACCCAGGCTTAGGGTTTTAGGGCTTGCAACATCGATGCAGTCCTCGATGGCGGTGGCCATGTCCCGGGAGGCTCTCTTACAGTCACGCGGCCGGATCGGACACTGCGGTGTAGATCCCCAGGAGTACGATGCCAAAGCCGACCCAATTCAGCATCAACAGCCGCTCCGCAAAGAGAACCTTGTGTACAGCAGAACTGAGTTCTGAGGGTTTAGGGTTTAATAGGGTTTAATAGGGTTTAACAGGGTTTAATAGGGTTTAATAGGGCTTAACAGGGTTTAATAGGGCTTAATAGGGCTTTGCGTTTAGGACTCCAATACGAACCTCAAAGAAATCGCAGGACAAAACAAAAACCACGAGGGTGACAAACTCGGAGCTGAAAATTTATGGGGTCCTCAAGGGCGGGAGGGGTTAATTTAGAGCAGCTTAGGGAGTAGAGGAGTAGTGGGGAGTATTCGGGAACCTTGGGTTGCATGCCCTAAACCCTAAACCCCCCTTGAAACCCCCTTCCCTTAAGAATCCTCTAATAGCCCTAAACCCTAAACCCTAAACCCTAAACCCAAAACCCAAAACCCTAAACCCTTAATGCAAAGGTCCATGGCAAGGATGGCGGCGGTGACCGGTACTGCCAACATCGACACGGCCACCAGGCTGGCGGAGAATCTTGGCTTCGCAAGTCTTGGAGGTCCGAGGTTTAGGGTTTAGGGTTTAGGGTTTAGGGTTTAGGGTTTAGGGTTTTAGAGGTTTGGGGTTTTAGGGCTTGAGGGTTTTAGGGTGTTAGGGTTTTAGGGTTGCTGCTCGGCTCGTGCCCTTGAGACCTTCAGGCCTTGCTGCCGGCTTAATGTTCCTGCTCAAAGACAAGTAAAGACAGACAAAAGACTACTTTAGGCCTTAAGAATCCTATAATACCCCTAAACCCTAAACCCTAAACCCTAAACCCTATTTTGCAGCTTGGAAGCTGCTTGAGGCTGTATGCCAGCAAGCCCTGGCCAAGAGCCTGAGGGAGGGACTTGAAAGGGCAGGAAGCATGTAGGGTTTAGGGTTAGGGTTTAGGGTTTAGGGTTTAGGGTTTAGGGTTTAGGGTTTAGGGTTTAGGGTTTAGGGTTTAGGGTTTAGGGTTTAGGGTTTAGGGTTTCGGGTTTAGGGTTTAGGGTTTAGGGTTTAGGGTTTAGGGTTTAGGGTTTAGGGTTTAGGGTTTAGGGTTTAGGGTTTAGGGTTTAGGATGTTTGCTTGCTGCATTCATGAGTCAGAGGTGGGGCTGCTGCTTGGGGCTCAGGACTTAGCCTCCGCAGTGCCCCTTGACTTCTCGACCGGCCCTCCGAGGTAAGTTCATGGCTCTGAAGAATCGAAGGCCCCAATCAAGGTCTAAACCCTAAACCCTCAACCCTAAACCCTAAACCCTAAACCCTGGCACCTGGGGTAGCAGAGCCAGTCCAACCACAGCATACCAGGATGTGGCAGTGCGGGGAAATATCTGTTCGCGGAGCACCACCAACCTTGGTAAAAGGCAAGCTGTCCTAAGTGGGGGTTTCCGAAATCATTTCCGAATTTAGGGTTTAGGGTTTAGGGTTTAGGGTTTAGTACCTTATCGGGGTGTTCTTATTCTTCAGGGAATCCTGCTATTTGGTGTCTATATTGAGGGTCCCTGATTTTCGTAAACCCCCAAAGTGACCTTTGGATGCACAACAGCCCGTCTAGAAACCATTGGAACATTGATCGTAGACCCCATCTCCGGTCCATGATGACTGACCTGAACTCCTGGAGGACAAATACTGCTGAATGCTAGTACCCTAAACCCTAAACCCTAGACCCAAAACCCAAAACCCAAAACCCTAAACCCTAAACCCAGAGTATGAACAGGGCCTCTTCTTTGTCTCGCATATCACGCACGAACCTCACAGCGCCAGGCAGCATGAAGAGCATGAGCACGCTGCCGATCCCGCAGGTCCACATGAGGATCGTGGCGGCCTCAAAATGCCGGCGGAGCTCCTGCGGCTGACGACATGAAACAAAGTTTTTATTGACCATATTAGGGTTTAGGGTTTAGGGTTTATAGGGTTTAGGGTTTAGGGTTTAGGGTTTAGAAATCCCAAGCCCTAAGCTGCCAGTTCGTACCAGCCAAGGTTTGCAAGCAGCTGCGGGAAATCTATGTCCACAGACATGCCAGGCCACAGACATCTAGACTTCAAATCCCGAGCTGAACTCATGAGTTTTGCTAGTCACCAAGACCCCCAAGGCAGAGAAACGTCCTTGACTGCGAGGATGTTGATAGATGAAAGAAGGGCAGCCACTAGGGCTGCCAGGTCTCCCAGGTAGCCACCGCTGAGCTGGAAATCCTCCAAGCTAATGAGGATGGCCTCGGTACCAGGGGATGCCAAGGCTTGTGTCATGGGTTTTCCTACTACCCCCCCTCCACTTAAGTAACCTTAATGAAATTTTGTTAGTCATGGGGGGAAAGTAGGGGGGGTAGTCAAGAGGGGGGGAAGTATAGGGGAACCCATGACTGTTGCATTGCATAGAGACGCCTCGATTGCGCAGCTCAGTTCTACATGAGAGGGCCGAAGAGGCTGCTTGAATCAGGGCGTTTGGGGTTCTTCAGCCGGACGAGATTCACTAGCGTCGTACCACCCAGGAGGATCATGGGTACTTAGAGTGTAGGGTTTTGAAGTAGGGCAACTATGCTTCTAACCTTTTCCAGGGGTACTGATCACAACCCTACTTCTAGGTACCCATGAAGCTTCAAGTATGCTCTTGCAGCCGCAGGCTGAGCGGCGCCAGAGATGGCGACGGTCATCCCCAGCAAGAATCTCCGGCTGAAGGCTTGGTCCAGCACCAGCCAAGCCAGCAGCGTTGTGAAGATGGGCCTTCACTGAACTTGGGGAACCCTGGCAAACTTGATAGTTTTTAGCTGTTTCTTAGGAATTCTAGTCACCCCCCCCCAAAAAAAAATCAAAAAACAATAAATATAAATAAATAATAAATAAATAATAAATAAACAAATAAAAAGACCTTCCCAAGTAGCCCTAGGGGGCATCATGTTATGGAGTAGGGTAGCGTTGGCCACGCTGGCTTGGGTGAGCGCCCAAGCCCAGAGAGCCAAGCCTCCGGAGAAGGCAGAGCCGGAAGTCAGAAACAAGGCCACATCTGCTCCATCTGCGCCCTTGGTTGCTCTCTTCCTTCTTGTGAGAAAATGGGGTGACTCTAAGTGCACCTACTATGTCTTTATGTCAGCAGAACTGTCTCTAGGCTGCCCGGTAACCTAGGCTTAAAAAGGGTGCCCTTTTTTGCTTAAAGGGGTTCATAAGGGAACCTCAACCCCCCCAAAAAGGGAATAAGGGTACTACTGGGCATCCTAGGTATAAGGGGCAACCCAGGAGCTGCAGATGCAAGCAGTCCGTGCTGGGAGGAGCTCTCTTCTGTCTGCTCTTCAGTCAAGGACTCTTTGGCAGATTGGGGCCACACCTTGCTTCCCCAATAACCAGGGGGAAAAAAAGAAGGTTAAACTTTATAATTCCTACAAAATATATAAGGAACCCCAAAAAGCTTAAAGTTCAACTATTGGCTACGTAAGACACGAGCTGACTTGTGTTCCAGCCTACGAAGAGCACTGCTGCCAGGCCAAGGCGATTGAAGGCTGCGGCGTAGGGACTCAGCTCCTGGGTAGCCCAGCAACCATCTCAAAATAGGGGGAACCCCTTGTTTTTTGTTTGGGGTGGGTTACTTTATAAGGGAACAACCCTAAACCCTAAACCCTAAACCCTGAACCCAGAACCCTGAACCCAGAACCCAGAACCACAAAAAAAAAAAAGGGGCAAAAGGTTACCGCTGGGCTGCCAAGGTTCCCTCTCAGCAAAAACCAGAAGAATTGAGGCAGAGGCGATGCACAGCAATGCCGCAGGCAAGGCAAGGCAACTGAGCAAGCGATCCCAGCTGCTCGAAGTATCCTCGTGGACCATGGCATACTTCATGTGCTCCCAACGTTGCCCAGAAATTCCGCCTGCCCCACTTTGGGGGGGTGGGGGGGGGGGGGGGGGGGGGGGGGGGGGGGAAGCGCTTGAAGCTCCTCGGGAACCCCATGCTACCGCAAGAAGATGCTTCCCAACCATATGAGCTAGGAGTAAAACCCTCAACGCTAAACCCCTTAACCCTAAACAGTAGTACCCTTAACCCTAAGCAATAGTCGTCCCCACTACCGCCCAAGCACGACCTGGCGTCTAAACTAAAACTAACTGACGCTATCCTCGTCCCGAGAAAGCCGCTTTCCCTGCACCGCAAACGTTTCTCGACTTCCTAGTATTTTATTGTTCATGCTCTTGTTCATCTTCTGATTGCTCTCATGTTTGTTTTTGCTTATGACTCTTAATGTTTTTATTGTTAATACTACTCTTGTTCTTGTAAATAGTGATTAGCATTGTTCTCTTATGCTGATTGTTCTTGACTTACTGTTGATTATTGCTAGCAATATTCTGAGTATGATTAACTTATTGGTAAACCCCATTATGACTCTGGTTAACTGTAGAGACTATTGCACCATTGCTTCTATCGGTTCTCTCGAACCCACAGCTTCGGCGGGTTGTGCGAGCTGGAATCGGAAAAGCATGCTCCCTACACAAAGCTGCAGGTATGAGACCCAGGCTTGCACCCTTCACATGGGAGTTTACGACAATCAGGGGATACCAAATGTAACCCCAATAGTGGATTCCCTTATAATGAGGACCCAATTAGGTACAGTACCCCCGAATTTCGGAAACCCCAAACCCTAAACCCTAAACCCCAAACCCTAAACCCTAAACCCTAAACCCTATGTCTACATGCGACCGCCTTCAGATACACGTCACCTCACCCAAGACCATCAAGCCGCACCCTGGGCGCACTTCCCTGTGGAATACCTACATGGGTTTAGGGTTTAGGGTTTAGGGTTCAGGGTTTAGGGTTTCCGAAATTAGGGGTATCTTATTGGGGTCCTTGTTGTCGGGGAATCTTACGATTTGGGGTCTGTATTAGGGGTCCCCTGTTTTCGTAAACCCCCCATACAGGGGCCCAAAAAACCACAGAAACATACGAGAATCCCCTTTCTCGCGGGCCCCTATACCCCCCAATAATTAGTCGGGTCCTTGTGTTTATGTGTGTATGTGTTCTTTTTTTGATTTTTGTTGCTTTTGTTTTGTGTGTGTGTGTACGCTCTGTTGACAAAGAGTTCTGAAGAGGCAACTTCATCAGGAGTCTCTGGTGCAAAAGCAGGGGCGTCACCCACGACCTTGACTGGTGACCCAACGAAGAGAGTCAAGTGTTCGTGCTGAAATCTGGCCTGATCAGCCAGACGTACCTGCAGTTTCACTCGCTGATTGCAATTTGCCGAGCTCGCAGAAATACAGCTCCGCAGCATTGACATTGACTGCACCCTAGGACTGTATGCTTTTGGTGGCAACGCCCCTTGCATGTCGAAAGCATCCGCCATGAAAGAAGCATGTGTCGCATTCAATCATTTCTTGCAAGATCGCTTCCCAGACGGAAACTGGACTTCCCTCGCAGTGATTCTGAACCCTCACATAGGGCTCCACCGCGAAATGGGGAACATGATTGGCATGTGTGAACACCTACTAACCTCTCGAGGGTCGTCCCAGTGTGTATTCGGCTGGATCTCTGTCAAAGTGCCAGTCGTGAGGCTCGTTGGCCAGCAATTGAACTTAACACTTTGATACAAACATCCTTGATTTACCAACCATGATGCACAAAACCGTGATTCACCAACCTGAGAACCTTGATGCATTATCCTTGATTCAATATCCTTGATCCTTTATCCTTGATCCTTTATCCTTGATCCTTTATCCTTGATCCAAAGGTACGAGAAGCTCGTAAGTCCAACCGCGCCACAGCCATGTATCAGTTTCAGTTCTTCTGTGGTGGTGGTGGTGCGTCCAATATGCATTCTACTGTTCCATCGTACGCAGAGGACCCGGCAAGATTCAGCGGTCCGAGAAGACCAGCACTGCCACCGGGCATGGAATCGAATGCTCCACCACCGAGACCACCAAGAGCTCATAGACAGAGCCCATATATGCAGTTTGACCGTCCACAACAGCCACAGGTTGTTCCTTTTGATGGTCCTCAGAACATGCAGTTTGACGCGCAGTTGTTTCACATGCATGATGCAGCTGTTCAGTTTGCAGACTCTTCAATGTTTACACCTCCGGAAATGCCGCCGCCGCCTGGAGCAACTCGTCTTGTTCGACCGACATTTCCCCAAGTGGAAGAAGCCTCTGTTGACCCCGCCCCCATCCCCCCACCACCGCCACCGCCGCCGCCTTTTATGTTCCCTCCCCCCCCACAGCCGGTTGCCCCACCGCCGCAACCTTGGGTTGAACCAACGCCCGTCCCTTGCCCCACCATGCCAAATCCTTTCCAACCTCCCCCCCATCCTGTTCCACCTTTTCCCGGTCAAGCCAGCCACAATGTCCCACCCCCATTGCCAAAAGCGCCCCCAAGGCAAATTGCAGGCATTGGACCACCTCACCCCCTGCCACACCTGCCATCCAACCAAGGGGGAGACGAAGCAGTTACCATTCGCAATGCGGTTGACAGCGATGCGGGTATTGAAGCTTCAGGTCAGTCATGTGCGACAAATCCCTTTCGTTGACGCTTCTTACACAGATCAACCAAGCCGTTGCAGTTCATGGCACCAGATTTGATTACATTGATCCTTTGCAGATTCAGACAAAAGAGGATCGATCTATTTGGCTTCGAACTTCAGCCGAGATTTTCTCTCTCTTACTTCCCGATTCTTATGAGCAAGTGGTGCAGCATCTCATGTCGTTGGTCACACCGCTTGATCCAACTTTTCATATCGACTTGTCAGTCGTTCAACGCTTTGCCAAGATGATCGTGGCGTCGGGATGTGATTACAGAAAGGTTTTCCAGAAGAGAGCAGCTGTGATGAAAGATCCACACAACACAGTCGTTTGGCAGTTTCCTGTTGCCGGTTTTCCGCAGCCAACAACACTCCTTTCCGCAGGAAGCACGCAGTATGTGTTTTTCCATGGCACAAGCGAAGAAGGATGCATTGGCATATTGAGATGTGGAAAAGTTTTGCGATCAACCACAGATGGCGTAGGCATGCCTCCTGGAAAGTTTTGCCTAGGGTTCTTTTGCAAAGCTATCGTGGGTTGGCCCACGCAGCAACAGACCGCAGCAGCAGCTACAGATATGTTCTTCCACGGCAAGAACCAGTGCAATGTGGTGATACAAGGAGTTGCCAAGGGATCGCACTACAAGCCACTGACAGCCGATACACATCGAGAACAGATATGGTTGCAGCGTTATCCGGTCATACACAGCTCTTCCAAAGATAAAAGATGGTGCATCAGGGAGGATGTTGCCCACATTACACATTTTAATTTGATCTTCAACTCCGATGAGGACTGGGGTACGTGGCAAGGAGTCTAATCCTTTTTTGGGGGGCCTCCGAGGTGGTACGTGCAAAGGTCTGCGCTACAATGTTTCACCAAAATTCGCACACCATTTTTCCTTACATGACACTACCACAAACTCAGCCAAGCTATGCTGAGTCAGAGTCTCACCTTCGTCACAAAAGTCAGCATTGATAACTGCACATCCCAGAAAGAAGACAATTGCGAGAGCGAGAGACTGAGAGCAGTGCATGTTACATGTCACGACAGTCATGCTGTTGCAGTTGTGATGTTGTGGACATGTCGGTGGGCGTGCTTTGTACGCGAATCCGTTTTCTCAAGCCTCAGCAAGAAAGCATAAAACGACCGATCGCGCCGTGTTTGGTTGCATGTCAGTGGCAGTCTGCGTGTTCGATGTCTGTTTTCACGCGCACGAATGCTTTCTATGCAGTAAGACGCATCAATATCAAACATCCTTGCACGCAATTGACTTCTGTTCACCAAATGTACTTGGTGTAAACAACAACTAAGTATCGTTGTACAAATGGCGTGGAAGCAGTATGATGGTCATGGAAACCAACGATGGGGCCGATCCAATTGGTACGATGACAGGCAGTGGAACAACTGGGAG